CTTCGTCATGTGCCTATCGTCGTGCGACCTAGGAGAAGCTATCGCCATGTTCCTCGTTAGGAGCTGGCATTGTCCTCAAGGGATGCGCTGTCTCCTTGCATTCCCCAACGCGATGCCTATTGACGTCTGGACTTCCCCTTCTCTTCGCCATCTCATTCTTTCCTCTTCACCTCTTTCTCCTCTCATTTGATTGAGGGTAGACCTAGCCTATCATCGACGCGCCGACCTCGGTTTCTAGGAGTATTGCCACCGCACTGGTCCTGAGAACCATGCCCATCTTGCTACCACTCTAAGTCGGTAATTTCTGGTTGTCATGCTAGTCTCATCCCCAAGTCAAGATCCCTTCTCGTTTCTATCTTTCACCGAACCTTGCACTTCATCGCCTTTTCATATGAACGTGCATTGCCCTAAGTCAAGGTTGAGTCCCTTCGACCCATTTGTCGTACAAATTAACTATAGAAGTGTTGTGCAAAAAAAACAAGAGGGTTACAAGTCAGGGGAGGCAATTCCGAAACAACTCAAGCAGCTAGGGGGCTTTCTTCGTAATCTAAGAGGGCGCCCATGTGAACCAGCCCGAGTAAGTCCCGAACCCACCTAAAATTCCTCTCTCATTAGTTGGTATACCTGCCCTTGCCCTCGAGCAAGGTTCCAAGAGAGCGATCTCAAATCCCGGGTACACCAGAAACCCGAGACACGTACCGCCAGATCACCTAGATCTGGAGGGCGAGATTGAGACACCTAACCAGGGGGTCCGTCCCCCCATTAATGGGTCAATTTTGGCCCGGGCCAGGTCCAATTCAACTGTGTCGAGCCCGAGCTTCACAACGAGTCCGGTCTCATCGCATTCTGATGCCACTATGGGCATTTTTCCTTTTATGTGCAAGGGCAAGGGCAGACATTTTGCCCTTTCTTTTTACCCTTTAGCCCTTGGTCTTTCTCAAAATGCCACTTTTTCCTTTGTGGGCTACTTTGGAGTTGCTCATTTGTAGGGAGTTATGAGAGAAAAGCCCAATTGTACATTTTCCCAATGGTAAAAAGAGGTGTAAGGGGTTCCATTTCTTCCCATTCTTTCTCATTGTTTTCATTTCTAGAGAGGGAAAGAAAGGGGAAGCTCTCTAGAGAGAGAAAGGGTGTCTTAGAAGAAGGGCTTTGAGCCATGGCAAGCTCTTCTTAACCTACCAAGGAAGGTAAGAGTTTCATTTTCGTTTTCTTAGCATTTTTTAATGCTTTCCCATGTTTCTTGATATTTTGTATGTCTTATCTTCCATTTGTTGCATACTCCATAATTCTTTATGCATGAATAATCATTTTCATGCATAGTTTAGCTCCCCTATGTATAATTTGACATTTTTTAGCATAGTGTTGTATCTTTAAGCATAATTATGCATCTTTGAGCATAGTCTTGCATCCTTGAGCATCTTCTTGTATCTCTGAGCATTCTCTTGCGTAGTTTAGCATTTTTTAGCATCTTCTTATATTTTTTAGTAGCTTTTTGGCATCTTCTTGAATTTCTATGTATTCCCATGCATTTTTTTAGCATACTTATATTTTTACCATAGTTTTGCATTTTTTAACATGGTCATGCATAGTTTGATAACGATATGCATCATTGAGCACTTCTATGCATGTTTCGACTCTTTTCACGCTAGAAAAAGGGTCTCTTCATAGTCACATTTCTCGTTGGGCTTGATCCACAGACTCGTGATCCTTGATTCCCCCAGGTGACTTGGATTAGCCAAGCATTTTATTGTACTTTCCTTGCATACAGAGGAGATGCTGTCGAAGTTTCCTCAAATTCTTTATGTCATTTCTCTTTTTCTTGAAGCGTGGGCTTTCTGGAACTTCTTTCCTTGTTTATGTCTCACCCCTCTCTTGTACTTTTGCAGGGAAAATTCTTAATGTGAAGCACCTACAGCGCTCTGAGGTGTTAGGAACTGATACTTATACTGGTGCTTCTTTTACCGGAAGTTCTTCCCTTAAACTCTTAAGCCCTTTTATGACTTGGAATAGCCTTTAAGTATCACCAATGTAGGTGAAGATGCCCGATTTTACCTTTATGAGACTAAGGATGAGGATGATGAAAAGCAAGGGCTTTACTTGGTCTACTCAAGGGCTTCGATTTGAAGGAGAGCATCTATACATGTGAGGATACAGCACTTGGACTTTTGATGTCCTTTGATCTCATTCCAAAGAACTCAAGTCTTGTTCCTTAGCCTTAGTTTGCCAATGCTCGGCTGGATACTATGACCGATGCTCCAACACTATGAGGGCTTTCTTAGAAACTTGGAGCTATGTGAGCAATATCTGACATCTCGATCATGGTGAAGAAAGAATTTTCCTCTTTGATATGCATTTTTCGGGCGGATTTCTCCTGTAAGGAGAGATGTATGAGGAGTTCATACCGATCAATGGGGTGACTTTTGGAAATTACCTCATAAATGGCGAGGCGCCCCCATTGACTTTACGAACTCTTCGAGATTGATCAGCTATTACTCTCAAAAAGTGATGGGGACTTTGTGAGCTTTAATGCGGGGCAAACTTTCTTCCATGGGAACCGCAAGGATAAAGAAGAGCCTGACTATAGTGTCATTGGGGGTGATGGCACTAAGAACAAGGAAAATGAGAGTAAAGTGCATGTGATTCTTTCACAAAGGCCTGAGAAAGATCGCGTATATTTCACGGCTTATCTTACTCTCTTCTAATGTAGGTTCGCTTTTCCTGGCTCCAAAGGCAGTCTGATTTGAACCATATGTTTCTTTATGTCTTGCGAGCTCGCACAAGGACGTCAGTACGCCCTAGCCCAGCCTGTTCTTTGTAGCATATACCATAGCTTAAGAGCAATTGCTCACGGCAGTCATGGGTGGGGGCAGTAGTGAGTTTTCAAAGGAGAGGTTCTTCCAGGTTGGTTTATGACAGCATTCTCCATCCATTATGTCTTTGGCTGGCTGTCAGCTTACTTTCCAGGGACTGATTTTCCTTACTCCCCCGAGGCATATAAGCTCAATGAGAGTCTATCAGGGCATACATGTCCTCAACTGATGAGAGTGGTTGGGAAGAGGGCTATATTCTAAGGCTGTGGTGAAGCACGTTGTCTCCTTGCCGAAAGTTCCTTCTTTACTTTTGGGAATCCTTTTCCCATAGGTGGACCCACCGATCGTGTCTTTACTAATGCCTTTGGCTAGATTTTTGATGGGGCTACTGCTGAAACCTGTGAGCCAATGTACCTCTTAAGTGTCAGAGGGTGTATCCTGCCTCTTTGAGTGGTTGGTGACAAGAAGCTCGAGGCCTACCATCCCCATAGATTTGCACGTCAACACGATCTCGACCAGGGGTGCTCCTTCTCCGTACACTTTGAGAAGAGGTACAAGAATAAGGGGTCTTTGCAAGACAAGAATGCTTTGGGCATGAGACGTGAGTCTTGCACAGACAGCAATATGAGAATGGCTTGGGCTACCTGTCTCACTCATATCGGGCTGAGTAAGTTTGTCAATCCCGATTATAGTCGTATCAATCACACTACTAAGGGGTATTGGCGGTGGTGGAATACCACTACCCGTTCCTATTGGAAAGAAGACCATCTTTGGAAAGTTGTCAATGCTACCTTGAAGTGTGATGCAAAACATGAGAAACGTCTCACCCCTCCTATCTTCGCCCACGTTTTTGAGCTTGATTACCCCTTGAATTGGAGAGAGACCAGTATCCCTCGATCATTAGCTGTTATTTTCTGAATCTGCCATTATAAAATAATAATAATAATAACTGGAACAAAAAGACCGACCTGATCAGTAGCACGGGTGATTTAAAAAACAAAAAAACTCTCAATTAAATTCGACCAAAGATTCTAATAAGCATTATAATTTCTCTCTCTAGAAACTGCCAATGTACATACAACTGCTTCTAAATTAAATGCTTCAACTTCATAAAGGCTTCAAGGGCGCCAAGTGACAGAGTTTGGGGGTGAAACAAGCCTTGCCTCGGTTTCATCCTGATCGGGCATTAAAGAGAGACCTTCATCAAAATGTTGAGGCCAATACTCCGTGGCTTAGGGATCACTGTTGGTGGGATTTCACGCCCCACCTCAGATGAGGTTCAAGAAGGAACCATGCTGCTGGTTCATTGTATAACTTGTAACAATGGTTTCCTTACCAGTATTTTGCAAGACCATGACATGATAAATCGTAGCCATAAAAGTGCAAAACCTTTTGTACCAATTTGCAAAACTTGCATTCCAAGGGCCGAAGCAAAACTTAGGGCTAAAGCAAAACTACGGAACCAAAACTTCAAGTCCAAGGGCCAAAGCAAAACTCACGGCCAAAGAAAAACTCAGTACTAGCACCGTGACCTTGATGATGTAGATAAGATGCCCACTGAACCCTCGACTTCAACTCATTCTACGATTATAGAAAAACCGACAAGACATGGACCACGATCAAGTAAAACAAAGCTAACCCTTGATGAGCAATGGATTTTTATTGATAGATCGGTATGGTTTGATACGATGTAGAATTTGCAATTGCAGAAATAGAGATACAGGAGAGAGAGAAGAAGAATCAACAAGACATATACGTAGTTCGGCATGATGCTTAAGTCCATAGAGGCTAAACCAATATCTCATTTATAGGAATTACATTGGTTTATCAGAGCTTTATAGAGTTATAATTCTTGTCTTTTATAAAACAAATATCACTGTAATTGTAATCTCATAAAATAGGAAACTCAATATACGAGACTTAATATTTTATAATATTCAAAATTTGATTTGACCTACCACGAAAAAATTAAAAAATACTAAAAAAAAAAGAAAATCAAAATTTGGGTTGACTTAAAAGGTAATTTTGAAAAAATAAAATAAAAAAAGTGATCGACCTCCTATTAAATTTCAACCCTATGTAATTTCAACATATTTGTGGATGCATTTTATATTTTACCTAAATTTTAGGTTTCTTACGTAAATCACTCAACTTTTTAAGTATATAATTGGCACCTTATGTAAACTCTGTCAGAGATTATTGGGAAGGCAGGGCCGTCCGCCAAGAGAGAGAGAGAGAGCTGAGACAAAATGCCGGCGACTACAAAGAGCTGGCAGCATCTCCAACGAATCTCCCTCCTTGCATTCATCGTACGGCCCCACACCCACACCATTTCTCTCTCCATGCACAATAGAGGGAGAAGGGCAAGCAACACCTCCTTGGCTTAAACAAGAGCAGAGGCACAGGGAGCAGCCATGGCTGAAGAGACAGAACTGCCTTTCGCCACCACTAGCGGCGGCTACTGTGAAACCACCGGCGTCTACCGCTCCCTCCACCACCTCACCCACCTTCAACGCATCCCCACTGTCCTTTCTATCCACACCGCTTCCTTTATCCTCTCTCATATGCCCACCCACCAGTCCAACCCAGCAATCATCGACTCGGCCTCAGACACCCGGGTGTCGTATTTGGAACTCCGCCACTCGGCCTTGTCTCTCGCTGCTGGCCTCCACCATGCCCTCGGCGTATGCAAGGGGGATATCGTCCTCCTCCTCTCCCCAAACACCGTACTCTACCCTGTCATGTGCCTGGCAGTCCTGGCCATTGGTGCCATCCTCTCCCCCGCTAATCCCCTTAACACTGCTGAGGAGCTCTCCAAGCAAATTGCGAGCTCTGGCTCCAGACTCGTCATCTCGGTTCCAGAGGAGGAACACAAATTCTGGTCATCTGGTATCCCCATTCTCCTCACAAAAAATGATGCTGAGCACCGCACAGAGCTCACGGTGGAAGAGCTCATCCGGTGCTGTGACCCGGCAGAAGCGCCAGAGGCAGGCGTGACACAATCTCACACAGCTGCTCTACTCTACTCCTCGGGCACCACCGGGACCAGCAAGGGAGTTGTCCTCACCCACGCCAACCTCATCTCCACCATCTCCCTTCTCCGATGGACTGTGCAAGTCAAGGGCTCCGGCTCTTCAGGAGTGCACCTCGACATCATCCCCATGTTCCATGTCTATGGCCTCATGTTCTTTGGCCTGGGGCTTTTCTCCCTCGGTGCCACTGTGGTGCTCCTCCCCAAGTTCGACTTCCACACCATGCTAAAAGCTGTGGATCGATACAAGGTGACCGACATCCCGGCAGTGCCACCCGTTGTCCTTGCACTCTCAAAGGTTTCACAAACAACTAAAGCTCAGTACGACCTATCGTCGCTGAGGCGGGTGACTTCAGGAGCTGCACCTCTCAGCGACGAAGTAATGGAGGGGTTCAGGGAGAGGTTTCCTGACGTCGAGATCACGCAGGGCTATGGCCTCACTGAGAGTTGCGGAGCAACCTCCTTTACCGTAAAAGAGGAGGAGGTGAGGTATCGGCCGGGTTCAGTCGGGCAACTGTTGCCGGAGTTTTGCGCAAAGGTGGTGGATGTGGAGAGCAAACTGCCCTTGCCACCGAGTCGGAGGGGGGAGCTGTGGTTGAAGAGTCCGACGGTGATGAAGGGGTATCTGGACAACGAGGACGCTACAAAAGAAACTGTGGTTCAGAAGGGGTGGCTCAGAACTGGTGATTTGTGTTACATGGATGACGATGGGTTCCTCTACATTGTGGATCGCCTCAAGGAGCTCATCAAATATAATGGTTTCCAGGTTTTTCATTCTTATCCTTTGATTACTAATTACTAATTATGCAGTGAACATACTTATTATAGGGGGAAATAAATAAAAGAAGAAGAACTGGTTTAGCTTCTTTGGGCTTTTTTGAACAACCTGCAAAGACCTATCTCATCCAAACCGATATGTTACTGGAACAGTTAGATATAGAGATAACGCAAACTCGGCCAGTCCAACTCGGAACCGGCCAGTCAAGCCGTAACCGGTCACTTGGATTCGGTGGTTCAGCCAGGAATTTAAAAAAAAACTGATTTACGTACAAATCCTAATATTTTTTTTACTAAGTATCCAATGCTCAATTTATTGGCAGAAATAACAAAGAACGTAAGTGAACTGCCTTTTTTTATATTTTTTCAAAAGTTGCCCTTAGGATGGAATATTCAGTACAAATTTTAATTTTTTTTAGTGTTTTTTAGGATAGTACTATTCTGACAAAAAAACCATAAAAAAAAATTAAAATTAAATTCGGTCTCAAGGCAATTTTGGGAAAAAAAAAAAAAAATGGTCGACCAACTTTCTTTATACTTTCGACCTATAAATGGAGTATTTCATATTTTTTTAAAAAAATTAAGATATGTACAAAAATCATTTTTTAAAAAAAATATAAAATCCCCCCAAAAAAAATGATTTGTTTGTAATATGTTTTTTAATATTTTTTATCATTTTAGCAAAGATTGGAAAGTGTTTTTGCTATGAGTATTTTTTACATGTTCCCATATTTTTTGGAAAATTTTGAAATACTTAGGCACAAATCGATTTTTTAAAATCTATTTTTTAACTACTTTTCCGTTACATTTAGATGTATTTTGTTTAACCATACTTATTTTTCATACTTTTTGATATTTTAATTTTTAATTTTTTGTAATACTTCTTGGACCGATCAGGACCTCCTATAAAAAGGATGTATTTTTCAAGAAAATGAGTAGAACTACCCCAAGCCTTAACCAAGACACGTAGAGTAGGCTTGATGGTTTCTTTCAGTATTTTTGTTTTTTTGTTTTGTTTTTTTTTTTCTTTTAATTTTGGCACATAATTGGCTCTGAAATATCCCAAGCAATGAAAGACGCTTTAAAAAGACAATCCCTAGTTACGAGAACTGGGGCAGGAACGGGTTCGTTGAATGGACATGGGCCCTGAGAATTTACTTCCCAATAAAAAACGTTTGGGATACGATAGAGAACCACAAATATAAAGATTGAGGCCCCTGAATCAGTGGATTGATAGCCTAGCATCACAGGAATCAAGATCCACAAATAGACGGCTCGAGTTCCCTCTTTAGGGGATCTAGATTTGTATAAATAAGCGGTCGAGATTCTTAGAAAAATGATCAAATTCCCTCATCATCAGAAAAAAAACAAAAAAAAGAGTGAGCTCCAGTCAAGATCCCTGCTTTGGAATGCAGGATCTGATTTTGGAGCTGGAACCATGCCCTCTAGGGTTTCTCCTAATCACTCGGTAACTCAACATTTATTGCCCTCATCTCCAAGGAAAAAGGTCTCCCATCCATCACTGATTTCAAACGTATTAGCCTCTGCTATATCATTTACACGGTGATTAATAGTAAAACGATCACTAATCGGCTGAGTTTATTCCTCAACCATATTATTAGCATAAAATAAGATGTTATCTTTGATGGATAGAGTATTTTTAAACAGGCCCTCATAGCTTACAATGCAAATAAGCAAGAGATAAAGGTCTTTTTTTTCCCTCTTTCATAAGGCTTCATTGGGTATTTTCTTTTAGATGAACCACAAAGATATGGTTTTAGGGAGATCTCCATCAATTGGAGGTTGTTTTGCCCAAAAATCACAACAACGAAGGTTGTATTTGCACATGAACTATTGATTCTTAATGATGACGAGTTGGCTTTTATTCGAATATTAAAGAATTAGATTTAACTATTTATATGATGCAGGTAGCACCAGCCGAGTTGGAAGCCATAATCCAGGCTCATCCGGAGGTTTTAGATGCAGCAGTCGTACCGTACGTAATCTTACTCCTACTTTTTTTGGGAATTAATAAAAAAAAAAATTGTTTCACGCGGGCTGGACCACATGGACCCCATTTATGCGGTCCAAAAAGTGTCAAGCATCCATCTTAAAAAAGATGAATACAAGTAGGAGTTCCATCTAAAAATAATGGAAACTTACGATCCCCAATGTTTTTTTTACTACAATTGTTATTTCAATTTTTTCAAATTTATTTTTTCATATTCATGATCTCTACGTTAGATATTACATGTCTTTAAAAATGAAGTCCTAAAATCCATCTCAAAAATAAATTTATTAAGAGGCCTGCATTTCTACATATGTGGGCTTGGCCGCATAGAAAACGGGCCCTGAATAAAAAGAAAATGATTTAATAGGGCTGCAGCCTTGTCAAAACTTCATGACTCATTGAAATTGTAATTCAAGCATTAAAACTTCACTTTGATCAACTCAGTTTGAACGCTATGTTTGTGAAAAAAATACACGGATCTAAAAATAGTATATATTGTAACAAATTATCTAGGCTATTTATTTTTCCCTAAAAATAAATGTTCATAGATCCGTAAGATTTGTACCATTCTTTTAGTTTGAAATTTTATTGTTGGTGTTAGAGATTGATTTTTAGAGTCATCATGAAATTTTTGTTGTCGAAAGTGCTTTTTGTACAAGGATTTGAGGTGAGGATTTAATTTGTTTTCATAGAGCCTAGGCCTTATAAAAACTTATCGTTAATAAAATTGAGAAATCCACCTAAGGTCGTAAATAAGAAAAGGAAAAAGTTTATATAAGGATGCAACCTTATAATGTAGAACTACGGATGCACCTCAAAAATCTATTGGAAAAAATAGTTTTAATGTTGAAAAACCCTTTCATTGATCATCTCGACATCGAGATGTATGACCATGAAAAATAAAAAGATTTTAAGTCTTAGAAATAGTGCATTTTACAAGATATTATCTACACCGTCCGTTTTCAAGATTTTTATATGTTTATAGATCTACTTGATTTTAACCATTTTTTAAATTTAAAATTTAATAATTAGATATAAAAATAGCTTTTGAGATAATCCTAAGAACATTTTACATCAAAATTATATACCATGATAAAATTTGAAGGTGCACCTTACCTCTACAACTACAGATGCATCTGTATGCCAACTGCACCCATAAAAAAAGTATTTAATTATCTTAAAATTAATTGGTATTTTTTATTATTTTTGTTGTCGAGTGGGAAGGGTTACCCTACCAATTCCCGCGCTTCACAATATTTCAATGAGAACTCAAAAATTTGAGAGAGAGAGAGAGATAAATACATAGATAAGCTTTGGAAATGCCAAAAATGGAACTCTTTATCTTTTCAATAACTTACGGTCAAGGTTGAAAAGGCTAAGGTACTACTTAGCCGAATCAAGCTTTTATATATATATATAAATTTTTCCCAACACCTATAGGTGAATAATGAACAGTGATTTCGCCTACTCTCGTCACCGTCCAAAGTTTATCCTATGGTCACAATTATCTGGTAGTATTTTAATTTTTATTTTTCATTTTTTTTTCTACAAATTGTAATGATCTGAAATGTAAAGCATATATACATCATAATGAGGCACACGTAATAAAAATATAAAAAAATAAATCCCAAAAATATATTGACCAAAATACTCTTGAAAATTTTGAGAGGTATTTTGGTTAATATTTTCATGTAAAATTTTTTTTTGATATTTTTTCTAGATTCGTCTAGTTTTGATAAACACATACTCCAAATTTTAGGTCATTATGATTTGTACAAAAAAAATTAAAAATGAAACACTACCAGATAATTGAGACTGTGCGATAAACTTTGGACGGTGATGAAGATACACAAAATCACTTATTTTTTTTCTTATATGCGTTTTGTAGTATCTTCCATATATATATATATATATATAGGAAAAATTTTATATAGGGTTGCAACCTTAAAATGTAGAACTACGGATGCACCTTAGAAATCCATCGGAAAAGATTGCTTTAATGTTGAAAAACCTTGTGATTGATCATCTTGACATCAAGAAGTATGACTATAAAATATAAAAAGGTTTTGAGTCTCAGAAATAGTACATCTTACAATATATTATCTACACCGTCCATTTTCAATATTATCATATGTTTATAGATCTACTTGATTTTAACTATTTTTGGAGTTTAAAAATTTATAATTAGATATAAAAATAGATTTTGAGATAATCCTAAGAACATTTTACATTAAAATTATATATTAGGATAAAATTTGAAGGTGCACTTTAGTTGGATTGTTTAAAGTTGCAACCTTATGGAA